ACACATGCACCGCCGGAGCACGCATAGCAGCGTGTGTGCGCCGTGCACACGTGCATCTTCATCTGCGCGCACCCCTTGCACACGTGCATCCTCATCTGTGCGCACCCCTTGCATATGTGCACTCCCACGTGCGTGCACCCCTGTGTGCCTGCGCTCTTGCATGCGTGCGTAGAGCTGCACATCTGCAGAGCTGCAGGCAGGCACAGGGTGCGGAGCTGCAGAGTGCCCGTGCGCGGGGTGCATCGTGCGCGGCGTGGGTGTGTGCATGCCCCTGTGTGTGTATGCATGCCTTGCACAGGCGCACCATGACGTGCGTGCGGCATGCGTGCACCGTGCATGCGTTCACCCTCAAGTGCGTAAGTGTGGGGGTGCATGCACGTGCTGCAGCCCTGTGGAGGTTCATGCACACCCGGTGCTGCACGCACGTCGGGGTGCACGCGTGCGCGGTGGGTGTGCGGACACACTGCACGTGGGTGCAGGTGTACACAGGCAGTACTCAAAGCCCCAATCTGGCCGGGTTTTCCCCCAAAAGCTGCAGCGGGTTTGTTCTCTCCTCCCCCTCCCCAGGGGAAGCGTGACCGGGGCTGGGTGAGTGGGTTGGGGTAGTGGCACCTTTACGGGGCTACTGCTGACTTACTGCTAGGTTACTATTTGCTTGCTATGAGGCTAACTGCTAAGATCCTACTGGGATACTTTCAGTAACCTTCTGAGGTAGTAGTGAGATACTATCGAGACACAGCTGAGATACTGTCTGGATACTACTGGGATGCTACTAAGATGCTCTCAGGAGTTTACTAAAACACATTCAGGATACTCAGCAGACAGTACTAAAGCTTTCTCAGGGTGGCACTAAGATACTGTCAGGATACTATGTGGATGCTACTGGGATACTGCGAGGACACTGCTAAGGTATTATCAGGGTACTACCAGGATGCTATCAGGACAATAATAAGGTATTTCTGGCATCTTTCCAGGGTTGATACTGAGATACTATTATGAAGGTACCGCTGGGGCAGTGCTAACACACCACCAGGGTACTCTCAGGATACTACAATAGATACGGGTAAGATGCTTTCAGCGTAGTAGCATGGCACTAAGGTAATACCTGGATATTACATTGCACTACCAAGATACTATCAGGACACTACTAAGATAATAGCTGTATACCATTACACCACTATTAGGGTACTATCAGGACACTGCTCGTATACTACTGTGATACTATCAGGGCACTGTTAGGATATAACTAGGATGCTATTGGGATGGTCCTGACATAGTATCAGGATACTACTACCTGTGCTAGTACAACATCGAAGCAACGCTGAGCTATTCACTAGCTGCTACTAGGATACTCTCAGTGTAGCTGAAAGCTACTATCAGGATGCTGCTAAGATGTTATCAGGATACTGCTGAATACTCCAAAAGATACCACTGGGATACTTTCACAATACTGTCGAGGAACTACTAAAATACTACAGGGCCATTAGTAGGATACTACTGAGATAGTATCAGGGTACTACTATGACAATATCAGGATATTATCACAACCCTCGTAACGTGCTATCAGGACGTTACTTGTTTCTTAGTAGGATGCTGTCAGGATGCTAGTAGGATATCAGTAGGATACTTCTGAGATACTACAAGGGCACTAGAAAAGATAGTGGTAAGATACTGCTGGGATACTCTCAGGGTAACACTCAAACTTGAGGAATACTGTCAGCACATTACTGATACTAGTATGATACTTTCAGGCCACTACTAAGATTGTGATGTATTATTAAGATGCTACCAGTTCAGCAGCTTTATGATACTTTTTATATACTATCAGGGTAACACTAAGATACTTTTGGGCTGCTATCAACACTTTGTTGCTGCTAGTAAAGTACTACTAGTGTAGTGTCAGGATATCAGCGTATTTCTATGAAGACAGTACTAAGATGCTCTTGGGATACTACTAGGATACTACAGAGATACTGTTGGTGGTGTAATAGCCCTGGCAGTAGGGTTTCAGCCAGCACGGCAGCAGCAAAGGGAACGGGGAGCCCTGGTGTTGTAACCTGTGAGTAGCCCGGTGCCTCACGGGCACCCTCTCCCCGCAGCTAAGGCGACGTGTCGGCGTTGAGGAGGATGGAGGCGCCCCTGGTAAGCCTGGAGGAGGAGTTCGAGGAGGGGCCCGGGGATGATGGGGGGACCCCGCAACGCACCGTGGACCCGGCGCTGGCCGAGCTGGAGAGCTTCTCGGCCGAGATGATGAGCTTCAAGTCGATGGAGGACCTGGTGCAGGAATTCGACGAGAAGCTCACCGTCTGCTTCCGCAACTATGACGCTGCCACCGAGGGCCTGGCCCCCGTGCGCGGGCGTCTCCAGGCACAGGAGGAGGAGGAGCGCCTCCAGGATGAGGAGTGAGTAAGGCCCCCCTACTCCTGGGGGGCCTCCTTGCACACCTGCAAAATCCACCGCCCCGCGATGCAAACCGGCTCCCTGCATTGCAGTGTGGTCATGCAACACAGCCAAGTAGTGGCGTAGTAACCTGTGAGTAAGCCACCTTGTGGTCTGTGCGCCTCCTTGCGCCCTTGTGAGACTGCCCTGACCAGCTCCCTGCATCGTGGCATGACCATACAACATGTCGGGAATAGCACTGTAGTATCCTATGAGTAAGGACTCCTTCAGAGTCTGCATGCCACCTTGCATGCTAGCAAGGTACACCCCACATGCAACTCAGCTCCCTGCATCACGGCATAGTCATGCAGCAGTGTGGGGTAGCTGTGTAGTATCCTATGAGTAGCTGTATAGGATCCTTGGAGTAGCTGTGTAGGATCCTAAGAGTAGGCCGCCCTTGGACCTGCATGCTTCCTTGCATGGTCATGAGATACACCCCATCCCACGGCATGCGGACCAGCCTAGCCCACTGCAGTGTGGTTGTGTAGCCATCAGAGTAGCGGTGTAGTATCCTATGAGTAACACCCCTCTGGAGCTTATTGCACCTCCTTGCATGCTTGCAAGATCTCCACTGCATGCAAATCAGCCCCCTGTGCTGTGGCGTGATCATGCGGCACCTTGGAATCGCTGCGTAGGATCCTTAGAGTAGCTCTGTAGCATGCATGGAGTAGCTGTGTAGGATCCTTGGAGTAGCTGTGTAGCATCCTACGAGGAGGCACAGCGGGGTGCCCCATGTCGCATTGCACGGGGGTCACAGCAGGCTCAGCCTATGTGAGGAGAGCCCCCGGGGGGGTTGAATGTAAACCTTGAGTAAGGTGTGAGTAGAGCTTAGCCTCCTGCTTGCAGCCTGCAAGCTCTGCACCAAGCCGGGGGCAGCCAATCTGGGGCAAAATCCCCCCAGCCTTGCCACAGGATAGTGGCGTTTGCATTAAAATCTAAGTTTTCATTAAAAGCATTGTTTTTGGTTGCAAAATACCATTTTTTTGCCAAATTTGTGTGGTTTTTCCCAGCGATGTTTATACATTAATGCCTTTCTAATGGATTTTTTTGTTTAATTGGGATTATTCCTCAGGCTGACATTCCTCATACTCATTTTTCACCATGCAAAGCGGTTGTTTTCAACCCAAAAGCCCCCAAATCTGTTTGTTTTTTGTTTTTTTTTTATTTGGTTGCTTTTTTCCCCACCAAAATCCACTGAGGCCAAATTGCCTTTCGGAATTGGCCAAATTGATGGCTTTTCAGAGAAAAACACATTTCAGCCCAGTGCCGGGAGCGCCGCGCTGTCGCCGGCAACCGGCTCGCAGCGCCGCTTTGTGCTGCTTATTGTGTTTTTTTGGGTCAGTTTGGGCAAAACAGGGCTTTTTGTTTTTTTCCTCCCTCTTGAATGGGCCCTGTGTGTACGGGTGGGGGATGGGCTGGGGCCTTAAAGGCACGGGATTTCCCTAATTATTAACCGATTCTTGCCATAATTAACCCAGAAGTGCGCTGCTGCTGCTTGCCTGACCCCGCAGGGTGCTGGCCCTTTAAGAGTGGGGGGAAAAAAAGCACATTTGGGGGGGTAATCCCTTGGTTTTTCCTTATTTGCCGCATTTTTGTTAAAAATGGGAATAGAGCGGGGGTTTTGGCATGCGCATTTTTGCGCGTTAATTTGTGAAATACGTGATTTAGGGGGGAATTCAGATCAGGTGAGGAGGGAGAGGCGATAAATACCCCAAAATGAGCAGTTTTGGGGGCCGGGGAGGGTTTTGGGGTGATTTAGGGGGAATCGGGATGTGCGTGGCCATGGCACCGTGTCAGACTAAAAACGCCATTTCTGGTGGGAAAACGGGGGATTTTGCCGTCGTTGGGGAGAAATTTGCTAATCTCTTTTTGTGCCTTTTCCCCCATTTTTGACCTTTTCCCCCATTTTTGACCTTTTCCCCCATTTTTGACCTTTTTCCCAATGTCGCCATTTTCAGCTCTTTTCTCCCATTTTCCCCATTTTTTCTTCTTTCTCTCCCTTTTCTCCCTTTTCTCCCACTTTTCCACCTTTTTCCCATTCCCCCATTTTTCCCCTCATTCCCCCTTTTTCCTTACATTTTCTCGTTCCCCATTTCCCCTTTTCCCCCCATTTTTTTCCTTTTTCCCTCTTTTACCCCTTTTCCTCCTTCCCCTATGCCCCATTTTCCCATCTTTCCCTTTCTCCCCCCTTTTCCCTTCTTTCCCACTTTTCCCCCTTTCTCATTTTTTCTGCCATTTCCCCTCCTTTACCCCCATTTCCCTTCCCCCATTTTTCCTCATTTTCCCCCTTTTTGCCCTTTTTTCCCATCTTCTCCTTCTTTAGCCCCTTTTTCTCCTGTTTTCCCCGTTCCCCCTCCTTTTTTTCCTTCCCCCCTTTTTTCCCTTCCCACCCTTCCCCCTCTTTTTCCCTCATTTCCCCCTTTTTCCCCTTTCTCTCCTTTTTCCCCCTTTTTTCTCCTTTTTTCTTCTTTTCCCTCTTTTTCCTTTTTCCACTTTTCTCCCCTTTTTCCTTCATTTCCCCTTCCCCCGTTTTTTCTCCTTTTCCCCCTTATTTCCCTTTTTTCCCCTTTTCCCTGCTTTTTCCCCACTTGTTCCCTTTTCCTCCCTTTTCCTCCCTTTTCCTCCCTTTTCCTCCCTTTTCCTCCCTTTTCCTCCCTTTTCCTCCTTTTTCACATTTTTTCACATTTTTTCACATTTTTTCACATTTTTTCACATTTTTTCACATTTTTTCCATTCCCCCTGCCCCTTCCTCCCCCTTTCCTCCCCTTTTTTCCCCCGGTCCCCCTCCTTTCCCC